AAAAAAAAAAACTATTGCTTTGGAAGAAACAACAATAGTATACTGCTTACGTCAAAACCCACTTTCAAAAACAGTCAAGTCGCCCTCACTCTAATGAGTATATTCTATTTAAAAATCAGGAGTTATATCTCTTACACAAACCTGTAGGAAGTTACATAATGAGAGTCTGAAGAAGCTCTAATCTAGTGTAGCTGTGGAGGTAGGAAAGGAAGAAGAGAGTGGAAAGCTCAAACAGCTTAATGTCGAGATTAAGTCCTACCTTTAAACTCCTCGCTATTTAGCGCGATCTTGAAGCTCCTGGAAACGTAATAATCGACAAAGACCTCGACACTGAAGAAAGACGTGAGGCTTTCAAACGATGGACTTCGGCTGGAAAAGCATGTGGAAGTCTTATGATCGCACAGTTGTTCCATGTCTGTCACCCATTTAATTCTATTATTTTGCACCTTAAAACACTTTTCGACTTCTAAAGATTTTTATATATTCTAAAGAAAATTATTGGCATAAAACAACTGTGGTCATGAAGTATCGTATAATTAGTTAGTTCTGGCAGTACTAAATATGCAGCTACTTTTTAGCCTGGAAAATACGCAGCAAAGTTACCAGAAGGATCGAATTTCGACATAAATACGTTGACACGAGAAGAAATTCGTAATTTAATCGAGGAATATGCATACGCCGCTAAATTTGCTCAAGAATGCGGTAAAACTGCCTTTTTTTTTTTGCACAGTCATCATGGTATAAACCCCCCACCCCCATCTAAGAGGGCATTTCACGCCTCATATGGAGTAAGCAGAACCATCTAAATTTTTCTGCTATCTGAAATCAATACTTCTATTTTAGTCCACCAAATATTTACGTTTATGACCATCATCCTTCTCAAAAATAACTTATTACAGACAATTTTAGGATTTGACGGGGTGGAAATATCCAGTGCCTACTTTTATACACTAGGACAATTTTTAACATACGACACAAATTCGCGTACGGACGAATATGGCGGGTCGTTGGAAAATCGCTCCCGTTTACTATTTGATATTATGCAAAAATTAAGGTTAGACATACAATCCGCTCCTGTTGGGTAACAGCGTAAAAAAACCAGTGCAATAAAAGCAATAAAGTTTATACTGCAGAATGAGACTTCCTCGACAAAATAGCTTTGTTTTTGGAGTTAAACTCTATTCGGGTAACTTCGAACCAGGGTATGACGACGAGGAATTTGGCGAATTTGTACACAACGTTGAGGTACCGTTGTAAAAGTATAACTTTAACCTTGCTTCTTAGAACGGACTTCAAAAGATAACTTACGTAAATAATTAGATTCAAAAAAAAAAAAACATTTCCAAACTTTCAGAGTTTCAAACCAATGAACCACAAAAGTCACCTCTCAAAATTAATAGTGGAATGAAAATAATCGTCAAAATTATTGCAGAAAACAGGCTTTGACTATGTAACGATTACTGGCGGTCACTACAAACTTCTTCGCGAGTTTCCTAAAGATGGTTCGAAAAAAGCAGAACACTTCTATCAGACCGTAGTCCCAGCAGTAAATTTTATGAATTCTTCAGATCAAGTCTTATCTAAAAAATAAAAACCAAACGAACATCATCTTTCTGTAAAAATCATAAATTTCTTAAATAGAAAAACATCGAACCTTGTAAGTTTAAAAAACTGTTCCTTAGTGAACAAATGACTTAATATCAACATAACACCATCTAAATGACAGCTTGCGCCCAATTACTGCTTGTTTTAAGATAAGAAGAAATCTAACGAGGACCAAACTGTTCATGAACGGCAACTTCGTAACGCTGTCCGATATGTGTGATGCAGTGAGAGAGCGATGGGCGGCCGGTATAGCTCTAGCTAAACCTGTTGCTGCTGAGCCAGGTTAATTTTTTTTTTCCTAAAGCCATTCATAATGCTGTCAAAGTCAGATCGAGTAGCTAGCTTATTTGAGCTTAATAAATTAGCTTCAAACACAATCAAATTTTACTTGGTACGCGAACTGATTTAATAACGTATAATTCGGCAACTAAAAATCTTCCCTAAATGCCAAAAAGAATTTTGGTAATTTTAGATCTCCCAAAAAAACTAATGAATTTGGAGGTCACTGGAGCCGTGAAAAGCCTAATTGATCCTACAAATTTCCTTGAGGAGTAAGTTTTTTTAATTATTAAAAATTTAATAAAGTACCCAGTTTCACAAATTAATATCAAAGAACCTTTCGGGAATGATCTAGAAGTCAAGAACTAGCACAACTTTCTTCACTGACAGAACTGTAGAAAAGCTTTACTGTCTAATAAAATTTTTGCCGTGAAATTTCTATTCTATAATTTATTGCAGAATAGAGCTTGCTGGAACCCAACTGTGGCAACATGGCATGGATTTAGATGTTATTGACCCGTCGAATCCCTCTCACATCTATCAATTTAACCAAGCTTTAGCAAACTATCAGGAACTGCAACTAAATGCCGACGAAACTGGAACTGAGAGAATCGTCGGCTACCCAAAACTTGTTCTAGAAGGGACCAACCCTAGTGCAGAAATTGAATATGCTTCCAGTATACCTGCAGAAAAAGCAGGAGAAAAGTTTGAAGAAGAAATCCATGAAGTTACAGAGAAAAATTTGGAACAACCTAACAATTCCATAGGTATGCATGAGCAGACAATTGCAGATTCATACGAAAGTCATGAAAAAAGATTTGAGGATGGCGGCAACGTAGAAATTATAGAAGAAAGCTATGAAAAGGTCACAACTTCTAACATAGATGTTGTTGAACCGAGTTCACAATTTACCAGTGAAGCGGTTCCAGAGGCACCGCCAAAGGAAATGCCGGAGGAAGTCAGGTCAGAAACCAAGGTAGATGCAGAAGTTCATCCTGAAGAACTAGGAAAACCCAACGAAGCAGCAGAAACCGCAGAAACATTTGAAAAACTAAATGAACAAAAACCAATAGAAGCCAATGAACATGAGGTTAACTTAAGAGAATCTCATGTCCCTTCCGTACCCAATAATGAGTTTTCTGAACCACAAAACATTGAAGAATCATTTGAAAAAATTATTAATGAGAAAATCAATACTGAACCCGTAGAAACTCCAGAACAACCTGCAAATGAGGTTTCTGGAATAACAGAAGAACCACTTGAAAAGGTCCACGAAAATGTAGTAGAAGAAGCAGCAGTAGAGGAAGAACCAAGCGAAAAAAGTAACTTAAAGACGGTACCCAGCACAATGGAAGAAATCATAGTAGGGACGACAGCTGACAACAAAGAAATCATTGCAGGATTACAAGAAAAAGATTCTGGAAACACTGGCACTGAACCTCTATTCGAGAAGCACGTTGAACAGACTGAAGCTTCACCATCTGCTTTTGAACAGATTGAAGGCACTAAAGAAGCTACAGATACAGCGGGTCCTACCACAGATGAAACACCTAATGCTGAAAATGACGATGTGGAGGGAATAATTCAGAAAGTTATTTTAGACAATGTTGGTGTTGCAGGTCTTATTCATGACCTAACTTTGCCACCCACACCCCAGGAAAAGAAAGAGATTATCGCTGGTGTTACAGCGAATAATCAAGAGATTATTGCTGGTATGACTGAAGAGCAAGAGAAAATTCCGCTCGAAGCTGCTGCTGTTCCCGAGTTAGAAGAAACCAAACAATTAGAAGAAAGCGCAGTGACTTCAGAAACAGTGAAACCCGACACCTCATTAGCAGCAGAAGTTTCTGACGAATTCAAAGATGTTAACCAATGGCTAGTATTTACAAGACCAGAACCTAAAATTCCTGCTACAGCTGTAGAAGAACCTTTAGCTGAGAAGGTAGAACACACTGAGTTAAAAGAAACATCACCAAAAGATGAAATTAAAGATGTCAAGCAGTGGTTAGTTTTTACAAAAGGAGAAAATGAGCCGGAAACAAAACAGCAAGAAACAACTGCAACTGAAGAAGAGGAACCAACAAATGAAGAGCCGTTCAAACATGTGAAACAATGGCTAGTAATTAACCACGGAGAAACTTCCTCAGCCGTCCCCGAAGGTTCTGTTCAAGACGAAACGAAGCCAATATCTCAAGAAGCAACAGATGAACACTTACCGCCCACAGACTCCCAACTCGAAATAGATCTCTCAACAGCGGAGCTTGAAGTGCTTCACCACCAAGAATTTGAGGAAACTAAACAATCTCCAACCACTCATAAACAGATGTTTGGTTCGTCTAGACCTGAAGAGGATCGTCAGCAAGAAGAATACACTACTCAAGAATCATTTCAAGCCGCCTCAGCGTTCGATAGCGAAGAAGTTTTAAAGGAAAGTGCAGAAAAGCCAAAAAAACAAGCAGAGAAAAGAGGTGGTATCATGGATTTTTTTAAATCAATCCCTGTGTTTTCAGACAATAAAGCGAAATCTGAAGAGCAAAAAGCTCCGGCATCAGACGAGTTTTCTGATACCACAGACTTCTCGCATATCACTCCTCATACAGAATTTGGAAATGACAACTCCCTACAAGAAATTATTTCTGAAGTGCACTCAACTGCCGAACCCGGTGGTGTCGTAATTGAAGAAACTAAGGAAATAGTCAAGACCAGCGATCACCACGGTGGGCAAGAGGGAGGAGCCACCACCGCCACAACAACCACGACAAGACGTACGCAAAAGAAGAGAACAAGCAGATACTCAAAGAAAGACAAGAAGGGATCTCCTGAGGATCACAGTTCCGGATTTATATAAAATTTTTAAAATCTTTAACTTCCAGGCAATTACTGTGATTATCGTTTTCTTAACAGCTGCATTCTTGTCCAACTAGTCCAACTTCCCTTGTTTTTTTCCTAATTATCCAGAAAATAATTTCTGGACAAAAAAAAAAGGAATTATTTTGAATTTGTAATAAGCACAAATGACAAAAAACTTTTTTTTCTTTTAATTTCCATGATCGTATAATGCTTGTATTTCTTAATTCTTCCTTGTACTCGTCGCGAGAATTATGCTTTCAAAAACGCATCTCCTTTTGCTGAATTAATCAGACAAAATAAATTTTAAAAAAATTCCTTATGAACTATAACACAAAAAAATAATAATAATAATAAATCTATCTCAACAAAGACTGATATATGTCACCTGATTGAGAATCCAGTGCATATCTATTCCAAACCCTGGAATTCATCATTAACTAAGAGGACAATGCAAAATGCAAGAAATTCACGGTCCTAATCTATATTTACTGATAACTGCTGATAAACAATGTAACAAGTTGAAAATTTTTAGAAGAAAAGAATTCTGAATACGGAGAAGAATGTAACTTCTTTCTTCATACAACTTAGAGCAAAGAGTGGAAACAAAAAACATCTATAATCGTCTTCATTCAAAAGGTCAAACCATGTCTACCACCAAACGTAACACTATGGTGGTATATAACAATATGGTTCATAGACAGCAATGTATCAAAAAACTTTAACTACAGACTCACAAGCACAAGTGTTATCACCCTTATGCATTCCAAATCGTTGCCACCATTAAAGTATGGTTTTAAAGAACTGTAACCTGCATTTGTTAGTTTGGTTGAAGGGTAATAACAAACGGCGGGTTCTATAGATAATGGTCACACCACTTTTTTTAAGGCACTGACCAGTGATTATATTTTTGCTCCTTAAAGTCATCGTAGTTTGACATCACAGTATGACCTCATTTTTGTAAATCAGCAACACCTTTCTCTTTTAAAACTCCAGTACGCGATTCGACCATTTTTGCATTCGTCTATTAGTTGAAAACAATCCACTGCATCTGACATTAACGTCTTCACTTGATTTCAATAATTCATGCTCCCAAAAACTTATTTTAACCATCAGTTGTGTATTAGTTAACCGGCGCCCCTCTTAAATTGTAAGGTGAATGCAGCACCACTCTTCAAATATATCTCGCAAGATTTTTTTTTGTTATGTTTGTCACTGTACACAGCTTTTGCCAATTGCAGCGCTCGTCAGTAATTCTTCTGCCCTGACTTTCGCAAAGAATCTATCTTTCATATGAAGTCCTTCTACTCGGAAGAAAACCACTTTGTTTAGAGCTGCTTCTCTGGTTTCTAAAGTTACAGAAAATTAAGAGACATGTAGTCTGATAACAAGCTGCTTTAAAGATGCTGCGTATTACTCTTGATGCGGGTATACGACGGCACGGGCAAGTACACCCAAAAACTGGACTTATTAATTGCTTTACTTAGGTGACTTAAAACAAGTATAATGAACGGACTAAAATAATCATTTAAATTAATTTCTTCTCTATATTATATTGATACAACTGGAAACAATGTTGGGAACAAGCCTCTCACCTGGATAGCTTCTAAAATCAATGAAAACCAAGGAAAGCGAGATAAATGCAAAAGTAGAAATAACAATTGTAACTTTATTTAGAACTCAATACAAAACTTGGATGCTAGATGTGTAGACGGCAAGAGCACAAAACTTAAGATATTATCTAAACTGTTAAAGGATTAGGTCTTTAGAAAAACGAAAAAGAAACCTACCATTACGAACAAGCCCACTTTTGCTTGAATTTCTTTGTGCCCTCAAAAGGTTTCCACATGTGAGCAGATCAGAAGACGAGTTCGATAATCAATGACCTTCATTTCGTGTTTAACCGCGACTGAGTGAGTAAAGAAGAAATGATAGCCTACAGATTTCAAAAGTTTTTGATCAGAATTTGATCTACAAACATTACTGTGCGGGAAAGAATCATGAACAGCCATTGATAGAGTGGAGAAAAAAGGTAGACATTAGTGAGAAAACAGGGAGATTTGGTAGTATTTACAAGAAACTTATAGTAGTGTGTCTGGTAAGTACAGAGGTGACGTGATAAAACAAGGAATATAGATGTTATTTGAGTGATTTGACTGTA